TGTGTGTGTGTGTGTGTGTGTGTGTGCGATTCGGGAAAGAATGTTCGCGCATTTGCGGGAAAGTTCAATCTCGTTTTGCAAATTACGACTGCGTCCGCGCAGTCATAATTTGCGGAACGGGAAAGAATCTTCCTGCAAACCCGGGAAGATTCGTTCCCGTTTTGTAAAACACAAGACTCTCTCTCTCTCTCTCTCTCTCTCTCTCTCTCTCTCTCTCTCTCTCTCTCTCTCTCTCTCTCTCTTACTTTCTTTCTTCCCTCACCTCCCTGCGGCGCCCGTTTTTCCCGTTGGTTTTCTTTCTCGTTTTTAATTTGCACTTTTGACTTTTTTTTCTCTCCTTCTTTTTTTGTTCTCGAGTTTTTTTTTTTTTTTGTACCATTCGTTCAGTGCCCGACCCCCGTCCGACGTGGCGCGTTAACGGCCGCGTCGGAGAAAAATAGCTAGGCGACGTACTTGTGGTTTAAGGGAAGAGCCTGGTAGAGCTTGCCGCTGCTGGCACGACAGATAGGACTTTCTCTTATTCCCTTTAAGAAAGCAATTATGTACACAATTTAATCAATTCAATAAATACAGTCACGGAATGTGATGAATTTAAATTAAATTAAAAGTTTCCAAATAATTACCAAATCACCCCCGAAGTATGGAAGACCAAAGGCGGAAGAGCTCTATTGTTTGGTAGAGAGAATTCTCGCGTAACGTCTTTTAAGGATCTCAAACAGATCGGCGGTCTCTGGCTTGGGCGAGCGGCCGTACGTTTTTGTGGTTTCCTGCTGATAACCTACTTGTCCCTATGTATGCCGTTGAGATCAAAAGGTCGGTGACGCAACTCTTATCTGAAGAGCTTAAACTGGAGCTTAATCAGCAGGCGCCAAGCACAAAAAGTCATAATGCGATATCTGTCCTAAGTACCCAAATTCATGTCATGAAATGGAAGACACAAAATCAAGTCTCTTGGGTTAGGCGTGAAGCGCACAGAAAGGTATACGAAAGAAGGATACACCCGAGACTTTCAAGGAGATTGTAGAATCTGTTTTCATTGCCACCTCGGACCCCAACTGACCTTGTGATTCGTGAGTTCCATCAGAAGTACATTTTGCAGCTCGGCCCCCCGAAAACTCTTGTGGCATACGGGGGTACTCGGTTCATAAGTGCAGACTGGAAGGACTTCATTTTTGAACTCTATGAATCCGACTGAAGATGACATCTGGTCGACATCCCGAAGCCAATGTTCTGGCTGAGGAGATCAATCAGGCTGTTACACAGCTTCTCCGTGGTCTAACTATTCCTGATCAGGAGCAATGGGGGGAAGAGTTGAATGCAGGGAAGGGGTGTACAACAACTCCATTCACTCTTTTGCCGGTATGACGTTGAACAGGTTTCATTTTGGTTGGAAGATTTGCAACCCTCTCTCCTATCTGTTCCCCGAAAAGCCGCCTGGTCTGACGCCTGGCATGCCTGGCTACAGCCAAGTATGATCGTTTGCTCAAAGTTGCTGTTGCAGCATGACCAAGTGACAACATTCTATGGTCCATCATGCCAACAAGAAGCACAGACCTTTGCCTTTTGAAGTGAGAAGTTATGTCTGGGTCAAGATGTCTGAGTTTTCAGAAGAAGAGGTGGTGTTGTGCAAACTTCTCCCTCTCTACTACAGTCCGTGGAAGGTTCTAAAGGTGGTCGGTGATGATCAGTTTGGGCCCTCGTATGTGATTGACTTGCCTCCTCATTTGCGCACATATCGGGTTTTTCATGTGTCTAAAATGTTTCCATATCTTGCTCCTCATTCCTTTTGTTATCGCGAGCCTATGATCCCTCGTGCAATCAATGGTGGTCACAAGATAGACAGAATAGTAAGTCATACTGGTAAGGGACGTAGCAGAGTACTAAATTCACTTTCCGTATCATTCGGTGGATGATATCTACTGGGTTTCAAAGAAAGAATTGTTGCATAGTGCACCTCGCGTTGTCAAAGCGTATGAACGGCAGATAGTTTCCCATACTGTTCGAGCATTCTCTGCGAACCTCACTTCTACTGAGCATACACGAAATGTCTTTGCTATGCTTGCTTATGATGTGTTTGGCAKGGACTCAGATTGAGTTACCCACTCGAAGAGACCTTGCTTGAGGGGGGGGGTAGTGTAAGGGCCTGCCAAAACACGGACTGCTCTTCAGGGGGGGTACTGTAAGGACCTGCCAAAACACGGACTGAGAACACTGTTGATGTCTGAGTTTTGCCGCTGGAATGTATGGGCGTTCTGCTGAGTTTTCTAAG